CTTATTGAAGGAAAAAAGAAAAAAGGCCAGGCACAAATGTGTGAGCCAGAAACCTAAGGCATTCCCTGAGAATGTGAGGGAAATGTATCTCAAGAGACTAGAGGTGTAATGGAACCATGCCAACTCAGAACAGGAAGGGGCTCTGATCTCAGGACTCCACTATTTAGATACATTCATTAACTGCTTTGAACTCAGTCCTCCTAGCTTTATACAAATTGACAGCCGTGATGCCCAAGATCCAATCAAGTATCGAAAAAACAAAATTTGTGACTCAGAATCTTGATGTCAAACTATGGTAAAGAATGCTCAGAATGCTGTCCAGTACAGACTATGCTACAATCCTGGAAGTCTTTCCTCAAACCCCCTCTGTTCCAGCCTAGCCTCTGGACTACCGAGTATTTAACAAAACCCGTGGTCCCCAGTAGTTATGCTCCTCTTGTTTTCCCAGAGTCCTTCCAGAACACACACAGCAGAAGGCGGATGACCCAGTTCTTTAGTTCCGTCCAGCAATGTGGGAACAGCAGTCTCTCCATGTCTTCATGTTTCCCATCGCTTAAAAAATAAAAAAGGAATGCATTTAACCCAGCACTCTAAATTATTCCAGGAAGATAAGCAGAAAAATAATTGAAACTCGGAACAGCTGCAGTGCCTTCCAGGTCCTTAAATTTCTAGTAATTAAGTACTAAAGGGAACTTTGCATGTGGGAGCCTTCCACTTGGTCACAGAGGTCACAAAACAACTGCAGGCACAGGCACACACACACACACACACACACGGGTTATGAAAGTTTATAGAGCACATGTATTTGTGAAACAATTATTAGCATAAATGTGCTCTGCTTGGCTTTAAGGCAGCTTTTATCTCACTTGAACTCTGTCCCTGATTTTGAAAGCGTACCAAAAAATACAATTATTTTGCAGAGAAAGTTAAGTTTCACTATCAGCTGTGTCCTTCTATATATGGTCATTGTTTATAACAAGAAGTGCTTGCATATCTATATATCTATATCTATGTATGTATAATTTTTTACATCTTAATTGTTTGTTTGTTTACTTAAGTACCTGGCTTAGCTCCAGTTCAGAGCCCTGGGTCAGAGTATGTTCACCGAGGGAGCACAATTTCAGACACTGCAGAGATATGACAGCCTGCTTCTGCTTCGTACTTTAGTAATGACTTAAGATTTTAACTATCACCCTGTCTTTGCTGCCCTGAAACACACACATATACACACACACACACATTTACATTGTTTTAAAGAAGAGTTTTAAAAGTTTTGATGTATCCACTTCCTGGTATTTAAAAAGAAAACAAATTTTACAATCTTTCTCCTCACTCATTGGCTGGTTAAATTGGCTACTAGAAACAGTCTGGAATGACTTTTAAGCCAAAAAAAAAATGGTAAATATGGCATAGTTGTAAGGATAAAGAAGCATCAAAAAAGTCCTTTGTGACTAACAGAAGGGAAACGTGAGTACCTTCCAGGAAGGCCCTAAATAGGTGAAGTCTGGCGGGAAATCAGGGCCAACCTGGGCAGAGATCTATAGACAACTGTGTGACTCAGCCACCAAATTTATAATACCAGCAGTTAGTATACTGGGACTACCAGCACCATTCACCTGACGTAGTAGGCAGAGGGAGTTTTCCAACTCAGCCCTCACACAATCCTGGCAAAATCACCCACTGCTTCTTGTCCATAGAGACATTGTAGAACTAAAGTCAGGATGCGGGAAATAGCTCAGTAAAGAAAGGCTTGCCTTGCAAGCACATGGACCTGTTTGGAGCCCCAGACCTCAACTTATGACCAACAAACAAACACAACAAAATTTGGTGCAGCGACATGTGCTTGGAACCCCCAGCAACAAAAGTCTCAAAACCGAAGAATTACAGTCCTTTTGTTTCCACAAGATGCACACAATCCCATGCCTGTGTGCCCACACAAACATACTCGTGCACATAAGTCAATCAATCAGTCAATAAAAGGTGTATGAAATTTGTGAGCTTTCTTTGTTTCTACTATACCCGAGTCAGTGCTCCCCCATCAGTCATCCCCAATCCCAGAACTGAGTTGGGCTGACAGTCTCCTAGAGACAGGGCCATTCACTTCCTCTCTAAGATCCCCAAATAATGGTTTGTTCTTCCAATTCATCTGATTTGCAGGAATTCCTGTTTGTCCCACTTTCTGTCTCGAACGCTGTGTGCTCCTCTAAAATCTCCCGACCTAAGTGATTGGTTAAAGCAGTCAGTGAAACTGATTGCTGCTACTTTATGACCGCTGTTGTCTTCCCCTTCATTCACAATGACCTCCATCCTGCCAGGGTTGTGGATTGAAGAGAGGTTGCAAGATTCAAAGGTTAGTTTGGATTTCTTTCTTTTTTTTTCTTGTCTCTCCAAATGAGATGTCAATATCATTAGCAATCTATAAATCAGATGCCATTTGATCTCACTTGTATTTCATATAGACACGTGTGTTACACGTGTGGGTTAGTGTATGATGTGAACTTTAATCTTCAAAGTGTACTATAAGTTATTCTAGATGAAGAAATACAGATGCAGACTGATGTGATAAGCACCCATTACTCAGTTAAAAAAATAAAACTTTTTTTCTGTCACTTGAGTATTTCTCATGAGTCACACGTTAAAAATAAAACTAATTTAAAATGAATTTTTAAAAACTTATAGTATTGTGCATGTTTTTATTTTATTTTGAGATTGACCTTTACAATTTTACCTCCATTCAAAACGAAAGATGCTACCAGCTTCTCAGCCCGCTGTGTTTTTTTGGATAGCTTTCCAATCACTTCACATTGACATCACCCAAACTGGAAATTACCAGCTTCCCAACCAATCATGTTCCCGTGTGGGTCTCCTGGCTTCTCCATTGGAGAAAGGTGATGGGAGAGAGTCTTCTGTTTTGTGTTAATTTTATTGGTTAAATAAAAAAAAAAAAACTGCCTTGGCCCCTTTAATAGGATGGAAAATTAGGTAGGCGGAGTAAACAGAACAGAATGCTGGGAGGAGAAAAAAAAGCAGAGTCAGGGAGTCGCCATGATTCTCCCACTCCAGACAGACGCAGGTTAAGATCTTCCCTGGTAAACCACCTGGTGGGCTACACAGATTATTAGAAATGGGTTAGATCAATATGTAAGAGCTAGCCAATAAGAGGCTAGAGCTAATGGGCCAAGCAGTGTTTAAAAGAATACAGTTTCCGTGTAATTATTTCGGGTATAAAGCTAGTCGTGCAGGCAGCCGGGTGCCAGGATCGTAGCCCGCTGCTCTCGATACAACAGAAAGGCTCTGCAGTTTCCCAGGGTTGCCCCAGGTTTCTGCATTGGACATATAAGATTCTTTCTTTGCAGCTCACTCTAAACCTGATCTCTCTCCAGACATAGCTGTTGGGTTTCTATGGGTTTTTTTTTTTTTTTGTCTTTCTCCATCTTCTCAGCTACCCTCTAAAACATTTGTTCTCAAACTTTGATCCAAGAGCCCATCAGAATCCCATGGGCCTTTCGCAATGCTGTGGCATCAGAAATATTTATGCCAAGACTGTCTGACTTGCCTGCCCTCATTCCCTCTCTCAGAAGAATGCATGTGGTTTTGTGACCATCAAATGTATGATAATTTGGCTAGATTCTATCAAACCAGACACTAAGGAATCCTGTGAAAACACAAAACAGTAGTGTCATTTTTTTTTATCATTTTACTGTCATAAAATATTTTATATTGAGATAAACATAAATGTGTTAATATGACTCACACATTACTATTACATTTCTTTTTAAATGATTAAATAAACTTCAGAATTTCTCAGATTAATTACAAACACAGTAAACATCAAGAGATCAAAATTCATGTAAGCTAAGTTCTTTGGACCCCAAGGATGCCTTGAGTATTAGCGGCCAATGACCTGAGAAGGGTCACATTAGCTATGTCTCAGTCACCTCCCACCTGCAGGTTAGCACCAGCTTATCAACAACTCTGATCACTCCCTCTTCCTTTATCTATATCCAACTCCGGAGTTCTTCCCTTCTCAGGAAACGTTTTTGTCGAATATTAATTTCTGCTCCAAATCCATTAAGTTAGGGATTACATGCCAGTCTCCACAGCACGTTTTTATCTTATCATTCCCCCTGCCAACTTCCTACAAAAACAATATACTTGAAGTAGGCTTAATGTGGCCTCAGAACACTTAAATTCAAATTTGTTCATTTGTTCTGCCCACTCTTTATCTAGGGTTCATTCTCTTCTATCCTCACCTTTGAATGTTAGCAGTTCCCCTCTGCCCAGTCCAAGGCAACAGACACAAGAGCCAGGAAAGAGCAAATGCTTGAAGGTCTGGTTTGAATTCATGATGCCTTTCCCTAGATATCTGAGGTGAGGGACTAACTTTCCAGAGCTGGAAATGGAAAACAGAGCACAGCAGCTGTGAGGACAACACCTGTTCACATAATCCAATAGCAAGCATTATGAAAAGTCGCCATTATCCAGATCTCGCCATGTCCCTGGAAGGCTTTGTGTTGATCTTCAAGGACCCCTGTTCTCCCTCTGTTCTGCTTTGTTGACTGGTATTGGGGGGGGTCCATCTTGACTGACCCTAGTGGCTGTAGGAATTAACGAACATTCCCTTTTTCTTTCCTTCCATTTCTTCCGCATCTGTCATATACATGAATAAGCCCAACACGTGACCAGTATTGCTACACCTCTTTCAGTAACCTCAGTGTGTATCTGCCTTCCACACGATGATGACCTACCTAAACCAATCTCCACTGACAGGAGGCAAATAGGTGTGTTTGATCTATAAACTTTTACTCAACTCACTCTTCCCAGAGCAGCTCGTACAATAAATCCATTCATTAGAAGCAGGAAATGTTTTATAGAGAAAGACAGTTCTGTTTAGAGAATATTCCAAACTACACAAGAAGGAGGCCAAAGGTTGGTTGATCCTGGCTGGGAATCAATCCTGCTGTTTAATGGCTTTAGCCAATCACAGTATCCTAGAAATCGGCTGAGAGCTACAGACTTGAAATTTTTGGGGCTCTATCAGCTGGGAGAAGACATGGATTTTTACAGGCACGGGAAATCCTTTCCACCAGCAGTCTAGACTTCCTCTAACTTGTCCTGAGGTTAAGAGTGGCTGCTTCACGACTGGGATTGGTCATTTGGCTCTGGAGATCAGCTTTCTGGTTCTCTTAAAGGGACCAGGTGAGTGGAGATGTCAAATTAGATTAAATGCACGTGTGTGTGTGTGTGTGTGTGTGTGTGTGTGCCTCTGTTGATTGATGTGTAATGATGAAATCAGCCTAGTTTGAAAAATACTTCCAAGAATACAATCCTGAATGATTTTTGTATATTAGTCCTAAGGTACTCCTTTATCAGTAGCCTGAAATGACCCAAAAATGTAGCCATTTAACTTCAAAGCATTAGTGTAGATGAGAACCAGTGATCACATCTCAAAGACACTAATACCACTGTAGATGGCAGTGCTGGATTGTTCCTACTGTACACTGTGTTGGCCACAGAGAAAATGGGATAAATAGAATTTTCTTAGAAGTGTAAGCCTCAGTCCTCAAATCCTATTTTCAAAGAGAAAGTGAGGTCTATATCCAACAGTGCTTTTTTCTCATGCTTTAGACCATGTCAGTGTTTGTTTTCATATGTTTCATATGTTTTCATATGTTTCATATGTAGCACAAGGAGTTTAGCCAAATGATCTAGAGACCAAGCTCCTGGCAGAGCAGCCCATGGGGTCCACATGTTGACTCTCCATCTTGGAAGTCCTGTGATATAGTTTTCTAGCCAGAAAGCTGGGTGTTGGAAGTCTTCCCCTGTATAGATTTGGTGTGGTACTTACAGGCTTATTGGTGTTGCTACTGCATGTCTGTAATCCTAAACTGAGCGGGATGTGGGAAAGGGGATGTTGGTTGACAAACTCAAGTAGACTTAGGCTCTGTAGAGGTAGTCCATTTCCAAAAACAAAATGAACAAAAAAAAATCTTGTTCAATTAACCGGAGTTGGTTTCCATTGGAGGAAGAAGCGGGTGAGCAGTGAGCTTTGACAGTTTCAGAAGGAAACGACTTAGCTCTGAATTTTTACATGACTTTCTGGTGCCATTTTATAAGACACTGTTAGATTTCAAAGATGAAAATAGGTACTCTGTTTCTAATTTTTAAAATTTTATTATCATTTTGTGTGTTCAGCTGTCTTCTATGCAGTTATGTCTGCACACTACTTACTTTCAATGCCTGAAGAAGCCAGTAGAGTGTCTGATCTCCTGGAGCTCCAGTTACACTTATAAGCCACCATATGGGTGCTGGGTACTGATCCAGAGTCTTCTGGAGAGCAGCCAGTGCCCTCAACCACCAAGCTAGCTCTCCAGCTCCTATACTCTCTAAATAAAAAGGTATGATCTGTCTCTTGGTAATTAGTCCTTCAATGCAAAACTCAACATTCTGGAACTCTTGATGCCTAGGAACACACTTTCCTAAGTTACGATCCAAAAAAGTAACCATGTTAACCAAAAAATTCACTAAAAATAGCAGTATCAACAAAATCTATCTTTTAGTATATACAGTGGAGTGGTTTTCAGATGACCTATTCAGCTTAAGGAAATCTCATGACAAGTGAGGTTGGAAGAAGGATTAGTTTAAGCAAGCAAAAAATGAAAGCCTGTAACACGCGTTTAGAAATATGACTTGGCACTCCCCACTGTAGGTGACCGCATGCACAGGCCGGGTCACCTGGATGTTTCCATTTACTGGCCAGGTTACACCCAGAGAAACACACAAGTTCATCACAATGTATGCGCGGCAGTGTTCCCTCCAGCACTGTTCACGACATTATCGAAGAGAACACAGAAGAAAATGCCTAAGTCCATTTATAGGAGGCAAAAAAAAAAAAAAAGAGCTTTGTGTTTTTGAAATCTAGAGAACTGTTTGCACTTAGGCCTGGGAATGTCATTAAGGCCCTGAGCGGAAGACAGAAGCGTCTAAACAGTTCTTTGAGACTGATCCAGTTCTGGATATGATTGCTGGCTACATGGTGCCTTCGGTGTGAGATACCATCACATTCTACACTTAAAGAGAGAATGCTCGAAATACATCTGAAAGGTTTGCTACTTTAAAGTCCCAGTGTGTGGCAATGTGTGGGATACTCCCCCGACAGTAACCTCATTGCTATCCTTATCAGAGCAGGTGTGGCTACCTGCAAGGTGCCCCAGGAGAGGGCCTGCTGGCCTTCTCTTGCAGAAGGAGGGGTAGGAATGTGATTAGACCACTTCCTGTACTTCCCCCTCTCTCCCTGCACCAGCTGTACGTGATTCTGTGTAAGCTGCAGTGATTGCAAGAGGTGATAAGGAATATAGGGGGTGGCAGGTGAGCTGCGGCCTGGACTACATCTATGCAGCTGTGAGGAATGCATCATCCCTGTGGAGATGAGACTTTCGGGTTATGCAGCTGCTTTGGGGTCCCCCAGATTTTAGTAATTTACCCCTCACCCATGCTCTGTAAGGAAGCCCGATGAACTCACTAGTCCACTGAGCTAGACTGGGGTATAATCACACTTTCGTCTGTTGGTCTCTATCTGGGGTGCCTAGACACTTTTCTCCTCAAGAAAAGACCATGCACTATGGTAATATGGGGTGGGTAGATGGGTACAAGGAGGGCCAGGGAAATGGAGGAGAAAAGGGGAAGGAAGAACCAAAAGAAACAAATATTGTTTGATACTATAATAATATACTATTGTATGTGTTAATTAAAGATAGATAGATAGATAGATAGATAGATAGATAGATAGATAGATAGATAGATAGATAGATAGATAAGTAGGTAGATAAATAAGCATAGTCTACAATGTAAAACTTAGCAACTTGGACACTAAAAATTATGGTCTGTATTTTAATTTCTATTTGTTATCTTTTCATTTCCTATAGTTTTATAAAAACAGTAAAGATATTTTTATAGATAACTTTTCTAATTTGTAAAGTTTTAATTTAGTAAAATAAACAGTGTGTTGTTTTCATCCCTGCAACAACTGAGTATACTTAGTTCTGTATTTATTTATATCTAGAAACTTCCTTTCGGGATGAAGAAAGAAAACTTTTGACCTCTTCCTAAAATGAAGATGTTTTCCCCCATTATTAGTTAGAATACATTACATTTTAAACTTGGCAAAGGAATAATCCAAGAGGGATTTTCTGGAACAGCGTAAGTAAGTGATGATGGGGCCAAGGGAATGCTAGGACTTCAAGACTATATATAACCACAGCCGATGTGCTGAAACCACTTTGAGTAGCCTCGGTGACACCTGGGATGTGTGTGCCTTTGGATAAAAGTTGTGGCGAAGTTGTTTACTCAACTGAATTCCCTGAGCCTTGAAGGGCAAAACATGCTCATTGCAGAAATTTTTTATCCAGAACCTGAAGAAGAAAATTCTAAGGAACAACTTTACTCCATTACATAAGAACTCGCTCTTAGTACTAACACTTTGGATAAAAATGCCTTCTCCGAACTTTGCAGGAGAAACTCAGGACCACTAGCCTATCACAAATAGAATCATGGATTGCAAAAGAGATCTTTGATTTAGGGAAGAATTCTGATTAGAAGTTTCTCTTTGGGATTCTTTAGTTCTGTTTTAAAACCATGTAACAGAGCCCAAACAGCCTTCCAAAAACAACAACAATATAACAGAGCTATACAACAGTTGCACTGGGAAGTGTAGATACTGTTTTCTGGGATGTGTCTGACTCTGGGATGCTTGCTAAACAAGGAACATGGATAGCTCAGTAACTCTTGTTGCGGACATAGGTAAGAGGCTACAGGACTATGTGCCCCTCCCTGTTTGATGTCTTACCTCAGTCATTCGGTTTATATCAATGTTTTGCATCTGAAATTCAGTATCTCAATGCCATGTGCTCATTTAGCCAGCATCACTGTTTCGAATTTGTTCACCATGCACTACCATGTGCTTTGCAAAAGCGATTCTTAGAGCAATGGGAAGAAATTGAATGGTGTGTTCAAACATTTGCAAGAGTCCTTGTAAATACTTCTAAACATCAAACATAAACTCTTCTCGCATCTTGGGCATCCAGACAATTACCCAGAACAAAGAAGATTCCTAATGTTTGAGGGATAAACAGATTACTAGTAAAGAAGAGCTGTGCTCCTTGATAGAATAAGGTGGGTAAACTGAATAGCGTGGATCTGGAGGAGACCACATTTCTGTGGCTGCAGGAAGTCCGGGACCAAGGGAGAACATGCTTCATTGGCTTCCAATCTTCTGTGCTGATTACTGTCCCAGCACATCACACCTCTAGGAACTGATCGCTCCAGGTCAAGCTGATGTTTGGCTGTTCTTGACCTAAGCATACACTTCCCTTACCTGAAGAAATGAATGGTTCACCAGCACAGCTTAAAGAGGGCACTTTCTGTTATTGAGCAACACTTCAGCATGGAGTGAACTGATTTATTTATACTTTGACAGCAATCAATCGACAATTATTTTTCTAAACAAGGTTTGAGAGATATATTTTAGAGTGTCTTTCTAAAAACAAGTGTTTCCAAGCTTCATAACTCATGCTGCATGGGCTTGTGGGAGTCACGAAGACTCATAAAGGGATACCCTATGGGATGGTGGAAGTCATGAGGGTTGTTGCTAAGGGCAGAGCCCCAAAGCTTTGGTTACATTGTACCTGCTTGTCCTTGTGTTTTAAAAAGTTTTAACCCTCAATTTAATAAAAGCCAAATGATATGTTAAAAGGTATCAAACCTTACTAGACCTGGATGGAGGTGGGTGGTTCTTGGACTTCCCACAGGGCAGGGAACCCTGATTGCTCTTTGGGCTGATGAGGGAGGGGGACTTGATTGGTGGAGGGGGGGAAGGGGAGGCGGCGGTGGGGAAGAGACAGAAATCGTTAATAAATAAAAAAATAAAGGTTTTTAAGAACAAAAAAAAGGTATCAAACCATTAACACTTTATGTATGCCATAGTGGGTCTGTGAACAGAGCCAGTCATTCAAAGTCTGAACTCTAGTTTCCACATTAAACCATGGGAATGATACTAGGGAGTGCTTTGGTCCTCTATGAATCCTTGACTAGTATATGATGCTTGGTGTATAAGAACTGTTCCCATGTGAAGACCTTTGGACTACTCCGGTGGCTCTGCCTGAAACTGTATCAGATGCTGCTACCGCCCTAGTCATATTTGTTGAACTGCACTCGCCAGTGATTCCATATATAATCTTACTCTGTGCAGAGGACTCTTTACAGAGATTTGAGATTACAAGAGAAAGAAATTAGTGATCTCTAGGAGTCAGCAAAAGAACATCAGTCCATGCTCCATCACCTGTCGGAGGAGTCATTCCAAGAATGTGCATTGATGCCGACATCTCCATGGGATGAAGTTCCAGTTGTGTCCTGAGTTAACTGCTTCAATTATTCCTCCAATCATCTGCTTCTTGTTTCTGTAATACTTTCCCATCGCTTTCCTGGAGGTTCACATACATCCACCAATTTGGCTGGAGAGATGACCCACTGGTTAGGAACACTGCTGCTCTTTGAGAGAAGCTGTGTTTGTTTCCCAGCACCCACATAGCAGCTTATATCCACCTGTAACTTCACTTCCTAGGAATCCTATGCCCTTTTCTGATATCTGGGAGCACCGTATGTGAATATGCTACATATGCATACATGGAGGCAAACGTTCATACATGTAAATTAAAATAAGTAAATCTAAAACACAAAACAAAGAGGCTGCTTTAAAAATCTTCAAACTTCTTCAAAAAAATCTTCAATAATCTTCAAAAATAATCTTCAAAATGATAAATAAAATAAAAATAATCTTCAAAAATTTTCAATAATCTTCAAAAAATCTTCAAACTTCAAACAATGGAACACCTAAGACTTCAGAACTATTTCAGAATGAAAGAATTCAAGTTTTTAAGATGGAATGCATCCTTATAAAAATGTTTATCATTTCCTTATAAATATAGCATTAGTGATAGGATACAGACTTGCTGAATATGAGAACTATTTCTTCAAACAGCCTATTTGTTTACTTACATTACACATAAAAGATCAAAATGAGGGCCTTAACACTAGCTATCAGCTGTTTCTTCCTCAAAATGCACAGAACTTCTATATTTGTCCATTAAGTTTTTTTCTGAGTAATTTTAAGCCAAGCATAGACAACATGAATCATTCCTACAGGGTCATGTGTTCTAGCACAAATGAGTCCAAGACTCATGAAAAAAGGCCAATCTGAGTGATTGGAGATCTACTGGTTTGCATTCTTGCTGGGTTTACTTAACTCTGCAGCTATTTGCTTCTAAGTGAAACCAAAGTAGCAGTCTCTGTTTTGGCTAACAAAATTAGATGTCCTTCAGTGGAAGAATGGATGAAGAAAGTGTGGAATATATACACATTAGAATACTACTCAGCGGTAAAAAACAATGACTTCTTGAATTTTACATGCAAATGGATGGAAATAGAACACACTATCCTGAGTGAGGTAACCCAGACCCAAAAAGATGAACATGGGATGTACTCACTCATAATTGGTTTCTAGAGATAAATAAAGGTCAGTGAGTCTATAATTTGATCTCCTAAAGAAGCTAAATAAGAAGGTGATCCCAAAGAAAAACATATAGCTATCCTCCTGATTATGGGAAGTAGACAAGATTG